TTTCAGCGAGATATAAACTGAAATAGACGCGAAAAGTACGCGATGTCGCCGACGACATACTTGACCCCAGAGAGTTAATTGTCATTGTACAAATATACACCGAAATTGCATTGCACCCATATAAAGAAAAGAAGCAAGACATCTAAACAAGAAGTCAAAGGGAGTTACATATTTATAAAAACTGTAAAATATGACTGCTAAGCATTGCATAAATAACTCATCGGTTTTGAATTTTGTCTTTTGCTTCTTAATGCTGGCAGTGTAGTGTAAGTAATACTTGTAGGACATTAAGGTCAAATGCATCTGACTCCCCTAACAGAACTGGCTGTTTTATTTAAATTCTGAAATGGGCAGTCAAACCTAAAGAGTTCATTATTTATTTAAAGGATGATGTGTTTGTATTTTCTTCTAAAATACCGCATTGGCCCGAACTCCGGTTATGGGGTATTATTTTTTTTGGGGGGGGGGGGGATGTAGATAAACAAACAATATTACCAGCTTCACAATCCTTGAGGGCACAGAACGTTTTCAATGCAATGGACCCACATGCAGAAGTTAAAAAACGTATTGCGGAGAAGTCGAGCCTTATATGTTATATGACAGCCTTTTTGTTAACGGCCACTATCGGTTAATGCTAGCAGCGACACAGCCAGGGAAGCCAGCAGTTTACATGACACCCAAGGATACGCACTAATCATATGCATTGCCAGGGTTGCCAACCCTCACGCATCTGGCGTGACACTCGCACTTTTTGACTCTCACGTTCACAAGAAATCATTTGGCAAATCTACATTATTACATTATAAACCTAAAATTTGCAACATTAAAAGCATTGGGTTAATTTGCAAGCAGTCTATTTACAGGGTAATAAAACTGTTACATACATGTAAATCTATGTAAGTCTCAAATTGAAAATCTCATGCCAGCCAGCTGACCAAAGCTGACAACCCTGCATTGCATGGCAAACATTACATGGTTCCAAAATTTACTGTTAACAATAATGCATGAGTACACATTAATTTAGACTATTCACAGATGAGCGAGGTGCAGAACCTGCCTGTAATTGCATGTAGTTCCACTAATCAACCCCACGGCATTGAATTATGGCAGCCAATCGTGGACAACGGTTGGGATCAATGTAGTGCTGCACAATTATTCATAAAAAATGTGATCTCAATTCACACCTCTATCTCTCTTCACACGATCTCATTTCTAAATTACAACAGTTCTTCTGCGTTGTATTAGATTACCTGGATCAACTACTTTTCCCCAGAGAGTCTCAAGTGTCCCATAATTCTGCATTATAACCCAAATTATATTGAGCTTGCTTACTTATGCATCCAAGGTATTGTTTTCTTTTTCTTTTTCTTACACCCATTTTACTGTGGTGGTTTGACACCCCTGGGTTGTTCCTTGCACCTGTAGCCTCCGGGATAGACCCTAGACCTCCTGCGACCCTGTATTGGATAAACGGTTACAGAAAATGGATGGGTATTCATTATATTGGTATGGACAGAGAGGCATATATCTTGATTTCATCTTTTTGTTCTATCAAAGAAAAGCTGAAATATGGGTGCATGGACTTATGTATATTCACTGTATAAAAATTGTACATTTTGGGGTAGTCTGCTACAGTGATTCCCTTGAATGAATGTATCCCTGATGAATGTATTCCCATAGTTTTCTCTGTAAAACTTGGTGGGAAGCACTTGTCTTTTCAAAGAAAATTTGAATATTTACATGGGTGCTCAAAGCAAATACAAATTCAAATGTTACCACAAATGATATGGTTTGGTAGAATCCATATGTAGATGTGAAGGTTCCATATATGATTCTTTTCTTACCCTATGCTGCTTTTTTTCCCCTTCTCCATACTGCAGGTGACAAATCCAGCTAAAACAAAAACTGAGAGCCTTTTGAGTTATCCAGTTTGGTCAGGGACTAGTCAACTTGGGTTTCGCAGGAAGTATGCAAGGAATCTACTCTGTGAAAGAGGTTGACCCGATTGCTGGAGTGAGAAACCCATGAGCCCTTTTATGTCGAGAGTGAATGCACTCCTTCACTATTGATTTGGATTCCTGTGGACCCTCCTGGTAGGTCAGTTTATTGTATATTCATGACATGTTGTACCAGTTGGCTCTGCTTCTAGCTCATCTGTTTAGGATTGAATCAAAGGAGTTTGGTTCATATCTGAATAAGCAATGTTTTCCACTTCAAAGATTCTGTTTTAGGCCTTGTTTTATCCTTCTTCACTGACTAGTGAATGTTCTAAAGATAAACTTGAGGAGAATTTTTGAAGTACCCACTGAATCTAAACGAATGCACAAGTGTATATTGATATGTTTGGGGCTATTATTATGTAACTGTACAGTACAAGAATCTAGTCTGTTAAATCAAATATGTGCACCAATGTGCAACCAAATATGACTGCTGCAGAAAAAAATGTGGAGACCTTTTTTGTTGAGCTGTTCTGCTTCCATGGGTCCTCTAACTCTTAAGACTTTGGGATTTTGATTCCTTCAAATATACCATTTCTTTTAAAAAAATTGCTTCTGGAGAGCCATTTCAGCCTTTCAGCAGGCAATGATTCCAAAAAACATGTGAAGTCAACAGAATGGCCACGTGATCACAAAATCATTGGTGTGTAATCACTAGTTTAATATTTCATCTGGATTCAACTGAATTTGTCCATCAAAATGTAAAGCGGTTTGCAAACTGAACTTTAACATGCAAATGCCTCGTGTCTGTGTGCCTGAACCATTTAGAATTTAACTGAAGAAATTTTGCATAAACTAATTCAGTAATCTGTCTACATAATCATGAAACATACCTCAGCCAAAACTTGAACTGTGGGAAGAACACCCTCAAGTTTTTAGCAAAATTTTTTAATAGGATATAGTGACAATTTTTATGAGGTTGCTCTTTGTCCAAAAAAATAACATGGGGCAATTGACTGTGTTGATATTGTGAACTGAATTGGACTGGGCTGTTATTGTTAATCTGCATGTGAGCCTTTGATTTGATTTACTCTTTAGATCCTTCACTGATTTCTGAGCAGCTAATGTACTCCATTTAGTCCTGCTTGTATGTTAAGTTACTGTGAGGCGAGTTTCTCCCATACTTATCTGGGAAAATGTTTAACTCAGTCCTGCTTTTCTAAAATGTTGCCTATGATGGATTTCAAGCATGTTGTGTTGGACCTTCCAGAGATATAGTTTGTCAAAGAACCTGCATGTCTCAAGACTATTTCATTTAACAAATGTGCTCCTTAAGGTTTTTTTCTTTTCTTTTTTTTTGAATAGGGTTTGGGAACAAGGGAACTAATCACCAGCTTTGGTTTCCAAAAATTGGTATGGCACATGGACAAAACACATGCTGCAATACCCAGGTAATGAAAGATCCTGGGTCTGCGGAAATTCCCATAAATCTGGAGAGAAACTTGGTGTCTCCCTCTAAAAGTCTTACTGTGCAAGAGACTCATGTCGAGAATGTATTTTCTTCAATTTGTAATTCAAACATAAACACAACACTGGACTCCCCAACGCAACACCCACCTCACCAAAGGTGTCATGGGGAACAGCTTTGTCTGCATCAACAGCCAGATGGAGTGGAGAGGCTGGAACTTCCAAACTGCACTGCTGCAGATGTTACAGCTAACGAAACACAATGCTTAAGTCTCTTCCATGGAGTGACTGAAGCAAATGCAGACTCCCAAGGCAATTATTTTGTGAACTCCACTATTTTTGATCAATACTCTGATGTTAGCAGTTGTTCAGAGCCTGATGTTGGAGATGTTACTACTTGCACTGAATTAAACATTGGCAATGACCAATATAATGACCTACAAGGAAGTGAAAGCACCTGGAAACTTGAATGTTTGGAATTCTCTAACTCTTTTGGATCAGTAGAACCCAACTGTCAAAATGGATCTAACCACCCTGGTAGTACCTGCAAAGATGAAAGTTGCAGTAGTACCTCTGATTTGAAAGTTCAAGAAGCCGAGGATAAGACCCAGAGAGAACAGATGTTTGTGGATCAAAAGTATGACTACTTGCATCTACAAAAGTGTAGGGGTGATATTAATACATGTGGAACACATCAATGTGAAGGTTGCTTTTTTGCCAGCAGATATTCCAGCAATCTACATGATTCTGATACCTGCAAGAACTTAAAAAATGATAGTACTGTTGCTTATGAAATGGAGGCCAGAGATCAAGTGCTTGCACCTTGTGGAGATGGCTCTATCAGTTCAAAAATGGGACTCCAGAAACAATGTGACCAACAACAGAAAGATGATCATAAAGAATATCCTGGTGAGTTGCTTGGTACTAGCAAAGGTGAGGATCAACACTGTAGCAGCTTTGAATTCCTTCAGCGCTGCTTAGGCTTAAATAATTTTCACAGTGATGCAAATGAGTCTAGCTTTGCAAAAGAGAGCCAGAATGGTGGAAAGGTATCCCACGAAGACGGTATACACACCATACAGGGAGAACCACATGGTGGTCCTTTGGCCATTGTGCAAATGGGTTTAGAGTCTGTTCCTACAAGGAAGCCTGAGGAAACGTACACCGGAAGTGGTAGTCAAGAATTACCTATCACTGTGTGCTATAATATTCCATGTGTTACTGACTCAAACAAGGTAATGGCTACATCTTCTCAGAGTAGCAGTTTAAAAGGAGACAGTTTAAATTCACAGGCATCTGACACCTGTGCATCTATTTTTGAAAATCTGAATTGTATTGATACATATACTAAAATTGATCATTCTTGCAGTGATCTTTCCAGAGATCTTTTACTAACAACTTTTCCTGACTCCAATACTGACTCTACTGATATTATACCAAGTTCCTGGAAAGATAATGAAATATTGGAATCTTCTGAAAAACAGGCTTCTGTGTTGTCTAAAAGTGCGCACAGACCTTTTTTTCCCTTGAATAATGAAAATTCTGCTTTGCTTGATGTGGCTGCTGATTCCTCCACCATCCAAGTGTTGACTCATTTTGAGACTTCCCAACATTTAAAGAAACTCTTACATCCCGTTGTGCTGCTGAAGACTGCAAGGCAATATGTTACAGAAAAGAAGGGGTACCACTGTGCTGAATGCCAAGACCCATCACCAAGTTTGTCATGCCTCATAGAACATCACCATGTTGCTCACTCTAAATACAATTTTCACTTTTGCCAGACTTGCAACCGATATTTTACTGGCTTTGAACAAGCTAAGAAACACTTTTGTGTACGGCAGATAAATACTTTAAACAAACTGAAGAAAGGAAGTTACCGCATGCCACGCACATGCAAGTACTGTGACCTGACTTTCACCAGACTCTCTGACTATTACAAGCATGAACGGAAACATACTGGCATTACACCATTCAAGTGTGAAAAATGTGGTGTCTACTTTGCTCAGTCAGCAAGTCTGAACCGACACAAGCGATTGGCTCGGTGTCCGCATCCAACATTGAAAAATCTTGATAAAAAAGTAAAGCACCAAAAATCTTACTCTCCTGTCAAAGTGTACCAGCTTCCATCAGATGACATGGGTAGTCAGCTACCTCCATGCTATGTAAAGTTGGTGGACTTTCGCAAGGGCAGTTGTCCAACAAGCAAGAATAATTCAGAAGTTTTTGAAAAGAGTTTCCAACTTGGACTAACTGATGAAAGGCCCTTTAAATGCCTTAAATGCCACAGAACCTTCAAACATGGTAGCAATCTAAGCAGGCATAAGAAGAATGCCTGTAAAGATGAAAATAGCACACTGAAGTCTACAATTACAAAACCGATTAAAAATGTTGGAGGGCAGTACAAGTGCCCACTTTGTCCACGTCTGTTCAAATATTCCTTCAACCGTTTCCGTCATATGCGGTTGCAGTGTCTTAAAGAATATTCACAGCAAGGCAAGGGTAAAAAAGGTAATTTGTACAAGTGTGCTTTTTGCAAAAGTACTTTTTCTAATTCCTCTAATCGCAGCAGACACATAAAGATGGTTTGCATGAAAGAGTATATTCGCCGAGAGAGTTTGAAGATGAGACGGGAAATCCAAGAACAGAAAAAAGGGTTGCCTCAAAAGCAACAGCGGCCACTGACACAACCTCGGCAGGCTCAGAGGTTGCGCCACAAGTGCAGTTTTTGCCCAGCAACATTTGCTCATACGTCTGGTAAATATAAACACATGAGGAAACACAAGCCGTTTGAGAAGACTGGAAAGCCATTCAGGCAGCAGAACTCTCACCGACTTCTGTCAAAAACTGAAAATATTAATCCAAGGTCCAAAGTCCGCAATGAAAATGATAATGCTGGCAGCCTACCCTTCTCTTGTCATTATTGTGGAAAACAATTCAGCACCTCTGCCACTCTCTCAAAACATGAAAGGTTGCATAAAGGTGAAAGACCTTATCGTTGCTTAGAATGCGGAAAGCGCTTTTTGCGAAGCTCACACCTCATAGCTCATAAAAAGGTACACCAAAGAAGAATACAGTGCACTGTTTGCAAGAAGATTGTTCCTACAATTAAAGATCTAATAAAACACAGACAAAGCCATATAAATAAGGGTATGCTACAGTGCCCTGATTGCCCATTGCAGTTCAAATATCCTGCTTTTCTTCTCCGACATGTGTCTAAGCATAACAAAAAACCATCGAAAGGCCCAGAATTTTCTGCTTCTCCACCGCTGCCACCACCAGAACCACAACATGAAGGCAGCCTTGGTGAGTTTCAGTGCTCACTCTGTCAAGAGACCTTTGACAGTGCCTTAACACTGAATAGGCACTGCTTATCTCACATGTCAAAGTCTTCTAAAAATCAGTGCCCTTTCTGCAAAAGACATTTTTCTGGGCGTACTGCTTTAGTTCGACACCTTCGCCTACATACTGGGGAAAAGCCATATCGTTGTGACACCTGTAGAATGTGCTTTGCACGTTATGAAGGCCTTAAAACCCACAAAGAGAAATGCTCAGCTATTGAAACAAACCAGATTGATAAGCAGGATGATCCTCTTTCCTCCAACAGTAAGAAAAAGTACACCTGCAAATACTGCCCACAAACATTTTTCTGGCCCTGTAGTTTATCAAAGCACCACAAAAATCACATCCTGAAGATGGTTTTTCCTTGCTCCAAATGTGGTAAATGTTACAAAAAACTAAGGTTAGTGTCTCATGAGAAAGTGTGTGACCCTTCAGCTACCACATATGCAGATGCATCTAGCAGTCATTTGATTGCTTGTGGGAAGTGTGGACAGTCCTTTAATAGAAAATCAAATCAAATTGTCCATGAAAGGAAATGTACTGCTAAGGGCATAGGTACAAGGAGCACAGACAAATTGAAGCACCGCTGTCCGCACTGTTCTAAAGTCTTTAGGTATCGAAGTTACCTTCTAAGACACCTTGTGGTTCATGCAAGGAACAAACCACATGCATGTATGCATTGTGGTCATAGATATGCCAGTCACAGCCGCTATCTTCAGCATGAGGCTTTCTGTAATGGTACTTATAGGTACAGGCGATCAAGAGATAGCGTAAAGGTTGTAAACAGCATGCATATGTCATCTGATACTTCTTCCAAACAAAAATGTGAACCTCTAACTGCTGGAGACAGTGAAGAATACAACTGCAAATTCTGCTCGAAGACTTTTATGCGCACTGGAAATCTAAGACGTCATATTTTAACACACACTGAGGTCAACCCTTACCATTGCAAATCTTGTGAAAGCTGCTTCTCTCGTTATGATACATTAAGACGGCATGAGGATTCTTGTACTGGCAAGAAGGTAAGACCTGAAGTCCGCATTGTCAAGATTAGTCTAGATGACCTGGGGAAGGGCTGGAAAAACAAACTGGAGAAACCAACAGAGGCGCAAAAATTTTACTGTCAGACTTGTAGCAAATGTTTCACCACCCATGCAAATTTAAGTCGTCATGTAACCTTGCAACATATAACAGTAAAGCCTTTCAGCTGTAGTCGCTGTGGTAGTTCATTCTCTCATGAGTGTTCTTTGAAAAAACACAATATGAAGTGTAAGGGACAGCTATTTTCTTTCGCCTCTAAAACAAAGAGTTCTCAACATGAAAGCAGTAGCTTCCAAGCTGTACAGGAGAGTGGCAATACTCAGCCTTGCAGGGAGACATCTGAATTTCTCATGAAGATACAAAGGCAGTACCCGGACAAGCATAAATTCCTGTGCACTTTCTGTCCCCGTCGCTTCAAAAACCAAGAACAACTGAAAGTCCATACCCGCCTGCACACAGGAGAAAAACCTTTTGGCTGTGCCAGCTGTGGTGAACGCTTCATTCGTCGTGACTATTTGAAGCGCCATTTGATTAAGTGTAAAGTTGGCTCAGAAAAACAGGAGAGAATGCTCTGTGACAAATGTGGTGAAATTTTTATCTCTCTAGATCAACTCCAAAATCACATGAAGTCTTGTATGGTCACCCCAAAGTTACTGGACTGCTATTTAGAAAAGCCTACACGTCCCAGTATTTCATCAGAAAACAAGGGCTTTTCTTGTGCTAACTGCAGTGAACGGTTCTTGCTGTTCTCACAGCTACAGCATCATTTCCTTGCTGTGCATAGGGGAAGTACTTCTCAGAAACTTACATCAATATTACCAGTCAAGCAACAGTTATCTAGCATGGACGTCAAAGAGGAGCCAGTTGATGAAGGTTATGAAGAAAACCAATTAAAGAATTCTGATCAATTGTCTACTAAACTTCCAATTGCAATTCATAAGAAACCATTTGTTTGTCCACACTGCAACTTAGAATTTTGTAATACCAGTGGACTTGGCATGCATCTTCGTATGCATGCAGGCCAAATTCCATTTATGTGTCCAAGATGCAAAAAAGGCTTTTGGAGTAAGAGCTTACTGCGAAAACACCAAAGAAAGTGCCGCTTTCAAGTGGTAGCAAGAGAGTCGCATACAGAGACATCCCATCCATTTCAATTGAATTACAACGCCAAGAATACTGTTTTGGTATTTAACAGTGGGTCCAAAGCTACAGGGACAGGCGTACTACAAACTAAATTTTCCTGCAAGGAGGGTAACAAAGATCAACGGTGTCAACAACAGGTTTCATTTGATACCCAAGAGAAGCAGAATTCTTCTGGAACAAGTGTTACCGGTAAATATCAATGTTCAGAATGTGATCAGAGTTTTACTGATGGACTTTTACTTATCAGCCATTTGGAAGGCCATAGTCGCCAGGAGAGAGAACAAAAACAAGGGCATGTTTGCAAGTTGTGTGGAAGGGTATTTAATCAGTCGGCTGTATTATACAGACATTTGAAAATGCAACACTCCAAAAAGACACCATATCTATGTCCAGAATGTCCCAAATCTTTTCGGTATCCTTCAGATTTGGAAGTCCATAGAAGTTGCCATGACCCCAATCGACCATTCATTTGTAAATTCTGCAACTCTAGGTTTTGGTCAAGCCAGTCTTTAAAAAGACACACCTCTGCTGTACACCATGAACTTCCCAAAGATACATGTGCTTATACCTGTCAGGTTTGTGACAGGTCCTTTTCTCAGAGAAGTTCATATCAAAAACACTGCAAACGTCATAATGTAGGGTTGGGTATAGAAACTCAGCTGAAACAAAAGCTATTCTTAAAGCAAAAATGTAGTATGGTTGTGAATCTTGAAGGAAAGAATTATTCACACAATGAAGATGAAGGCAACAGTGATGATTCTGACTCGGCACCTTATTTCCCCTGTCATGTGTGTGGAAAAACCTTTCCCACATCAGAAAACCTAGAGGATCATCAACGTTGCCACCTTGGTGAGAAACCTTATGAGTGTGCAGAGTGTGGAAGATGTTTTTTCCAGCTTGCTCACCTGCAGCAACACCAGAGAAGCCACAAATCTGAGTTTCAGTGCCAAACATGTGGCCGCGGCTTCGTTTCATTCTTTGCTTTACGTAAGCATAAGCACACTCATGGAAAAAGCCGACCGTATCGCTGCCCAAAGTGCCAGCTCAGCTTCACTGGTCCCACACAGTTGGCAGAACACATGGCTACTCATCGTGATGATAACTTCCCCTGTGACCTCTGTGATCAAACGTTTTCTTGTAAACTTAGCCGTGCTCAGCATCGCATGAGCCATACAGATCAAGATGAAAGTCTTCCTCCCCTGCTGCCACCAACCAATATATCACTGCAGTCATCTCATATCTCTAATTCTGATCGGCTGAAATATCACTGTGGTGTTTGTTGCAAGCGATTTCAGAATACAGAACAACTGTCAGAACATGGTTGCCATGCAGGCAGAGAACGACCTTACTCTTGCCCTGAATGTAACCAGCATTTTCGTCATGGATCTCACCTCAAAAAGCATCAACTCAGTCACCAAATCTCAAGACCCTCCAGCTACAAATGTAATCAGTGCAACATATGTTTCAGATACCGTCATCAGTTTCTAAACCATTTGAAAGTACATGGTACCGAAGAGTCCACAGATGCTCTCAACACAGCCAATTCAACAGATGCTCGGAATAACTCAGAAAATATCTTCCACTGCCCCATCTGCCCATCCCAATTTCTCCATGCCATAGATTTAGCAAGCCACCTTTCAATTCATGCAGACAATACATTTGCATGTGAGATTTGTGGAAATATGTTTGCAAGCAAAAGCAGCCTTTTAGAACATGAATGTCATCTAACTACCTCTGTGCAGTATGAGTGCACAGAATGTGGTAATAGTTTTCTGGGCAGTAATACCTTCCGGCATCACCTCTGTACAGGTAGAAAACGTCCAGATAAGGAGAGTGAATACTGTTTGCCATCTTCATCTTCTATGAGGAAAACTGCTCCAGTCACTGTATCCCAAGCTACAGAAGATGATGACAGTGACGTGGATGTAGGGGAAGACTTTTTTAATTGCCCCGTTTGTGACAAACGGTTTACTTCCAAGGATTCCCTCCAGGAACATCAGCAGCAACACACTATTAACCGTCCCTTTAAGTGCCTTTCATGCGGCAAGTTCTTTGCAAAGAAAAGGTACCTCAAGAAGCATGAGCTGATTCATCAGCGCCTGTATCGTTGCAAGCTATGTCCTCAGTCATTTGGTGATGCAAAAGCCTATTTGGTTCATCAGGGTCTTCATGATGAAACCCGGCGGCACCAGTGTCCGGTGTGTCGGAAATGTTTTGTAACATCTCAAGATCTGGCACGACACACAAAATCTCACTGTAAAGAGCTGGAGGACTCTAGGGGGGATTTTCGTTGTGACATGTGCTACAAATCTTTTGGTCAGCTGGCACATCTGCGGCAGCATCAAGAATCGCATGTTGGGCAGGTCGTGTATGAGTGTACAGAGTGTGACAAAGCATTTGCTTTTTTCCACCTCCTGGAAGAACATCAGAGCACGCATGCATTACCACAGTCATCTTTATCTGCTCCTGTGTCCAACACCTCCAGTTCCTTCACTGCATAACCTGTAACTGGAAGAAGAGATGTTGATATTGCTATGTTCTGGTAATTAATTCAAAGTATGAAAACTGTCTGATTGATGTTTTATTTCCACTTAACATTTTTACCTATGAAGTATTACTATTCTGGGAGGCATTTTTTTTCCCTCAGTTAAATATATTATCAGATCTCCAGTTATTTAGACTCCTTCCATCCTGTTCACTTTCCAAAGTTGGAGGTTTAAGTGTTTAATGTAGAGGATTGTTTATTCATGAATGTAAATACAGTTGGTGCATGTGTACATTTAAAATGGTAAATCCTGGCTATTGTAATTACGAGAATATATGCTTGGAGTGAATTGTAAATATTAAAAGCTCCTTCTGGTCAGTGTGTGCATTGTCACCTAATCTCTTTATGCTGTAGTTCAAATGAATTTGGTTTATAGAGTTGCTTGTTGTATTTACTTTCTCGCAACAATTTAAACACATTTTTAATCTTTCAGAATGTGTTATCAGGTGTACTTATGTGACTTTAAATATCTTGCTCTAATATGTAGAGTTTGTATGCTCAAACTTAAGTACCGAATAGTATGTAAGTGGATAAAGTATTATGTAAATGTTAATTTCTTTCGGTATTTACTAAAATTGACTGGGCTGCACAGTTTGCTGTACAATTTTTTTTTTATATTTCCTTTTAATATTTTTCCAATATTGCCAGTATAATAGTTTGTACAGAAGAAATTGTGTTCAGTATTTCTACTTACTGTTTGTATACACACATGTATACCCCATGTTTTAATTTTGTATGGACAGAGTATTGGGTGATCTTTCAGACTTCTGGGTTATTTTGGTTTTCTAGTTTAGTCTTGTTTGTAAAACAATGTAAATAATGTTTATGTATATAGTAACAATTGGTTGGGATTATGGACCCGTAAATGTTAAATGACTTGTGGGAAAATTTAACCCATAAGAATAATGTGAGAACTGGGAGTATGTACTGTAAGAGCATTGACATTGCTTGTCCATCCTGTATTGTCAATCCATTGATAAAGGAGGGATAAGCACAGTAATTAGCAGACAGTTTGTATGAAAAATACTGTGTACATGTACAGTACCTGTACTCTTTTGCTTAACAAGGAATACCTTGACATCCAATTCTCAGTCAGCGTTTAACCAATTTAAACACTAAGTTCTATTTAAAATTTTAGTAGATTTTTTTTTTTTGAGGGATTTGTTAAAATAAACAGAATAAACTATTTTTGAATCGTCTTTTTTCATATTTAGGACCACATTTTGAGTGTGTCGTCATGTCGAGGGTTGGTTTGTTAAAGTAGATTTTCCACTGCACTTTTTCCCTAGATTGAATGCTGTTTTCCACCTCAACAGCCAATGGGCAGTTTGCTAGCATCCTCATTACAATTTCAGTATCTAGCAGTTGTTTTTCAGATCTACCAAGATTTTGCTTTTACATCTGGATATGTTGGTGTTAACTCCATCTGAAAATCAAGAGCTAAAAATGTGCCTTCTGCAGGCTAACACCTACAATAAAAAAATTCAAATGGGCTGTGGACAAAATCTGAAGGTTTTCCACTTCCTTTAGCCAGAAAATTGATTAGCACAATTATGTGCATTTATGGGGGAAGTATGTGTAGGTGTCCTAGTTGCCAGTAGGAGGATTACACAACATCACACTCTACCGTCCACACCAAGCAAAGGCCATATTGGTGCATAGATTCCTGTCTGGTGTGGTACTCCATGTGTACAGTCTGTGCTCTTTTGCCGCAATCATTATGGTTAGGTATACTGTTGTCGGCTACAACAGCAGCAATGTTTGCAAGAAATGTAAAGGACCCTTTACGATTCCCAAAATTATAAAAAATAAATAAATAAATAAATAAAAAACCGTCAACAGAGGAGAGAGTGTTTTATCCAGCCAGCCTTGCAGACAATAGTTACACAACATCTCAAGAACGGCTCATACTGAGAAGAGCGGCGAATCACTTGGTCTATGGTAAGAATAATGCAAAAACTATATGTTTCTAATTTGTCTTTCTGTGTTCATTTCTGTAGATAACAGTATTGATCATATTTAACTGGTGAACATCAGCTATGCAAACGCTACTAATTCTTGTGATCCCCATTCTGTTTATGCTTGTGGTGACATAACATGAATATAAGTAATTTTATGGCATTTTGTGCCTCATAATTTATGAGAGCTGATGGCAAAATTGTTTGGTTTTAAAAGTATGATGTGGAAACGTTTTAAAAACCATTCTTATTCTTCACATTAGGCAAACCAGCCACTACGTATAACAGGCAGCATTGACAGGGCACCAACTGTGAACATGGCATACAGCAGTTTTTAAGAGTGTGAAGAGAAGAATGCAAAAAGAGAGAGCCAAATGAAGCCAGACATTTAGGGATAAAACAAATCAATCAGCAATTCACCTTTAAAACACTTATGTGTCTAGATTTGGTGTATTAACAATGACTACAGGCACAGCACTGTAATGTTAACATTACAGCACAGAGCACAGCTGTTTTATGTTACCATTCCATGATGAAAACGGTTACAGTGAAGTATAGTGATATTAATAAGCATGAGATTTACAGTTGAAATTACCCATGAATATACTGAACTATTTCATCCATGTTTTTTTCCTCTGCAGTCTTTGTACCCAGAGAGAAATAAAGTCACTTTCCTTTGTTTTGATGTTATGCTTGATGTTTAAAATCTCATCTGTATGGGACACATCCAATAATATCCTTTCTCTCTTTGTGTAGTTTGCTTTTGTTTTACTTTTTGCTTTTTATGGTCTTGTTCAAATATGAGATTTTTTTAAGAGAAGTTACTGTTCATCTTCGATAATTTTTCTGATGCCCTGACTGATTTTGTGCCTTAATGTCAGTGGATGAATTGAGTCTATTTCTTTTGCTGTCACCTAGCTGAAGGTCTTAAGGAGACCTGCAGTAAAATAAGCCTACTTAAATATCTTACTTGTTCATTCTGCCCTTTCTCTGTCAGTAATTCGTTGAATTATTTATGCTTGGGGATAGACATTTCTTCATTTGCCTCAACCTGTGCACAGGTAATACTTTACCCCCAGTGCAAAGTCTGACTTAGGCATTGGTATCAACAGCACGAAAAAGGAATGGCATGTTTTGCATTTTTATTTTCATGCATTGATTAATTTGTGGTAGTATCTAAGTTTGTCTCAGTTGGTATAATTATCGAGTATAATACACAGAGTAGGATACACTTTAATATTAAGCTTTAAATGTGTTACCAGCGGCACAAAACATTGGGTATACTGTACAGTATGGTGCTTCCATTTTATTTAGAAGATCCCTTTGTCCAAAGCATCATGCAAGTCATCAAAACTTGAGGGATAGGGGCTGTGTTCAAAGTCCCAACGTTCTTTATGCCAGCTACAGGACTGAATCCACAACTTTTTCTGAGCTACACACTGACTCACCAAATTCTTGCAGTTTTTTCCCCATTGTTATATAAAACAAATATTTAGATACATCCTTTTAGTGGGTCAAGACTTTAGAGACTAGTAGTGGATAAAAAAAGAAAATAGAATTTACAAGGATGATAATTATTCCACTAACCTCCACCCATTCACACAAAGATTGAGTAAATAATTCTAACCAAAGGTAACTATGAGGTCTTAGTTTGGCTTTTGTTATTATACAAAGTGGTGTATTCTTGTTTGTTCTTCACTGAAATTACAACTGATGGTTTTCTTTAACCACTCAAAAAATATATAAGTACATTTTTAGAACATGTAATAATGAATGAAAGTTTTGAGAGATTTGCATTCAAACTTTCTGTCTTAGCATGTGAACAAATTTCTAACTGATCGAGAGAAGTTTGGGACTTCAGGAAGGTTGATGTAAAATCTGAGTAATGCCACAGTATGTGTCACGACCAGTTTCCGTCTGCCTTGTCTTGTTCTGCCTTGGCTGTGTTATATTTCCCTCAGTTGTTGAAAATCTTTGGTAAACTCTTAATGTGTCAACCACTCACTCCTGTTTCTGCCCTGTGTCTCGTCATCAGTGTATAAATCAGCCTGATCATACTGTGTGCTTTAGCCCATTCATTGTTGTAATGTCAGCAGGTGTCTTTACCCCTGTGTTGATCTGCTCCACCTGTTGTGGCCCCTCTTGGTCCATTTTGTTTTGGTTCCTACCTGTGTCAGTCCCAAATAGTGTTTTTAACCCAAGGCTGAATTTTGGGTTGCCCCTCCTTTTCTCGATGTGACAATAAGCAAGTTATTATGGTTGCATAAACTTTACCAGGTTCCCTGTCATTGTACTCCTGCAACCACCTAAGTGTAGATGTAGCTAAATTCGTATTTCATTTCATTAACTGATCATTTGCAATGGTTGACAGCTGAGGTTAGCTACTCAGGCATCCTCACGACTTGACTGAAGTATTCTAATTGTATGGGTTTATTGTAAGGCTGGACTAGCACAAAGCAATCACTACCCACAGCTTGTGACCATAGGTGAGGGTAGGAACATAGATCGACTGGTAAATCGAGAGCTTTGCCTTTTGGCTCAGCTCCTTCTTTACCATGACAGACCGATACAGCGCCTGCATCACTGCGGACGCCGCACCGATCCGCCTGTCGATCTCCCGTTCCATCGTCCCCCCACTCGTGAACAAGACCCCGAGATACTTAAACTCCTCTACTTGGGGGAGGACCCCATCTCCAACCCGAAGAGAGCATTCTACCCTTTTCCGGCTGAGGACCATGGTCTCGGATGAGGCCAACAGAACCACATCA